TTTTGTAAGGGACATTTGTTTCTGCTAGGTTTACTAGAGCATCCTTATATGGCAACACGTTCCGCTTATTTTCTTCGGGGATAAGAATGTATTCCTTAAGTATATTGTATAAGACTTGGACTAATGCATGTAGTTGTTGTGGACTAGCTGTCCGTAAAAGAAACTGTCGCTGATGAGCTGGACAAGTAGCTAAGAGTTGAAGAAAACCACAATTGTTCTTGGCAACTCGAGACATTGCGACAAACTGAACTTATCATTGTAGTTTGCAGTCTTTTATTGACTGTAGTGGAGAAAAACAATGGAAATGTGGTGGCGGTGGAGGGAAAACAATAGAAATGTGGCGGCGGTGGTGGTGGTGGTGGAGGGAAAACAATAGAAATGTGGTGGCGGTGGTGGCGGTGGTGGAGGGAAAACAATAGAAATGTGGTGGCGGTGGTGGAGGGAAAACAATAGAAATGTGGTGGCGGTGGTGGAGGGTAAACAATAGAAATGTGGTGGCGGTGGTGGAGGGAAAACAATAGAAATGTGGTGGCAGTGGTGGAGGGAAAACAATAGAAATGTGGTGGCGGTGGTGGAGGGAAAACAATAGAAATGTGGTGGCGGTGGTGGAGGGTAAACAATAGAAATGTGGTGGCGGTGGTGGTGGTGGTGGTGGTGGAGGGAAAACAATAGAAATGTGGTGGCGGTGGTGGTGGGGGTGGTGGAGGGAAAACAATAGGAAAGTGGTGGTGGTGGAGGAAAACTATTGAATTGTATAGCCTTCAAAACTATATCAATGCGCATTATGCTAGCATTTTCTCAGTCTACATTCTGCTCCTGAGGAACTGACATGAGTTGGTTCTGTTCCGTTTGCGAAAAATCCTTTAGTAGAAAGGATAGCATGCAAAGGCACGTGACGTCTAAACACCGCAATGCTGGTCTCACACCATTTCAAACAGTTCCGTTTTCAAAGAAATGTCAGCCGTTTCGCTTCGAGCACCCTTTCACCTCCATGATTGCCGGAATGACCGGGTCGGGAAAAACGGCCTGGGTTCGATCGCTATTGCAACAAGCTTCAGAGACCATTTACCCTCCCCCGGAGAGGATCATTTGGTGTTATTCACAATGGCAGCCTGCGTATACACAAATGTTAGTCGCCGTGCCAAACATTGAATTCGTCAAGGGAATTCCTACGGCTTTGGAGCAGGATTCCTATTTTGATGTGAACAAAAGGAATTTGATCGTGTTTGATGATCAGATGATTGACGCCAGTAAAGACAAGCGAATTGTGAACCTCTTTACTCGTGGTTCTCATCATCGCAATCTGAGCGTGATTTATATCGTGCAAAATCTATTTCATCAGGGGAAAGGTAGCCGCAGCATAAGCCTAAACAGCCATTATCTGGTGTTATTCAAGAATCCACGAGACAAATTGCAAATCCTGATTCTGGCGAAGCAAATGTATCCCGGGCAAACTGATTTCTTTTTAAATCAGTACGAAGAGGCTGTAAAAAGACCTTTTGGTTATCTGCTGATTGATCTGAAAACTACTACCCAAGATAATTGTCGACTGCGAACAAACGTCCTGCCCAGTGAAGAAGGCTTTAACCAAGCAGGGTTTCAAGAAAATATTCCTCAAGAGCTTCTGAAATATCTGAAGCAGCAGACTCTTTCGCCTGTCCCGCTTCTTCCAGCTATGCAAGAAATACAAGGCAACATGGATGACGTGCTTTCTCGAAACGATCTTCGGGACGATGAAAAAGCTAAACGATACCTTCAGTTGCAAAACAGATACCTGGCTTTTAAAGAACAATTAAATACAAGAACACGACCGGGAGAAATAATCAGCACTGTTCCAGATTTAACATCAAGGACACAAGATTCTTCGACAGCAGCGACAGCATTCTCGACTCCCCTCAACCCCTTTAATGTAACACCTGAATTAACACAAGCGGCTATCTCTCAAAAACCTGACAAAGAAAGCCTCACCCCTCCACCACCCTTAAATCCTGCTTTCCTGACCCCTCCTCCCACAGTAGAAACCCCATCACCACAAGGCCCGAAGCGCAAAAGGCGTCGGATTCAATTTCTAAATTATTTGGATGATCATAAATCTCATGGCAAACAGCTGAAGAAACGTCGGCATAAGAAATTCAAACCTTACAAGTACTCCATGGGTGAGGAAGATGAAGATTAATTAATTTCCATTCTTTCCAAATCGCTGTGTATTTGACTCTTTTTTTACTGGTTTTCAACGAAGTTTTTAAAACTGTATCTCGTGTCTTGTCAATTTAATTGTCGCGATTTACATTGATCCTTGTTGTGTTTTTACAATAATAAGTCAAAGTGCTCCCTTGGGTCTAGCTGTAGAGATGAACTAATTTGTATTCGACTTTGGGCTTGTTAACCGGCATAATTAACTGACTAACGCTAACGGCGCGTGAATTGACAAGACCATATAAGCTCATCAAGCGCTGAGATTTCAATAGTTAATCGTTTCCTCGAGATGGAACGGAGAAAGCGCTTTCGTAATGGTGAGTCAAACTTGAAATAGAGAGTTTTCAGCTCCACTTTTTGTATGTGTGTGTGTGTTTTGTTATATATCCAATATTTAGCGCTAAATAAGAAGACATGTGTTACTAGGGGATCGCATCTCTTATTCCCTCTTTTTATAAATAGACTTTCCACTCATTAGGAACAAGAATGGAGTTGATTTAAGAACCAAAAGAGCTAGGGTTTGACTTTAGAACCACCTGTTGTTTTCTATAGAATTTTCATACCCTGTGCAATACTTTCTACAGAGTCAAGTAAACAAAGATTGACATTTTTGCTTGATAGGCAGTTTTTCGCTTGGCTGAGCTTCGACCTCGTTTTCATGTTTTGCCTGAAAAATTAGTACGATTTCGCATTCGCTTAACCTCCTTTTCCCTTCTTTTGAAGTAAAGATTTTTCAGTTAACCTCCGTGTCTTGGTTTTGTTTATAACCAATTTTTAGTGAAAATAATTTAATGATTAAAGATTTTTCATTTAGTATAACCTGCAAAGACAACATGTTCAAAATTTGCCCGCTTTTATTTTGAACACATGACAGTTTCTACAATATCCAATCAGAAGACTATAGCAAACAATATCAAATCAGAAGACTGTAGCAAATAGCTAATTATATGAAAATCACTTTTCTGTTTAAAAATTATGATCTCAACATTTTTTGATGACGTCAACTCTGGGAAATTCTGACGTCACTTGCTCCTTGCCAGCTACAAATAAACGATGACATCATCCTATCTCAAAGAAGTATATGACGTCAGCCAGCTAAAAATAACCTATGACATCATCCTATCTTATTGAGATGCGTGACGTCATCGGCATTAATTTAAAGTATGACATCATCCTATCTTAATGAGATGCATGACGTCATCTGCGTTAATTTATACCACTCAAAAAGTTAATTAAATCCACAAAGAAAAGGAGTAACCGGTCCCTCCTCTACTACTCACGGATTCTTACACAATGTAGCTCGATATAAACACTTATTTTCGTTCAAACTTCAGCTTTCATCGATCGCCTTCGTGTCGTGAAGCGTTAAATGAACAGTTATTTGTAACGGGTAATGTCATTAAAATCAACAATCGAAACAAACTGCAACTCATTCAAATTATTTGAAATGTCATGCTTTACTCACAGCACTTCACTTTCCATTGGAAACTACTAGTAACATTAAATTTGTTGATTAATTCTCTTTTGTGGGCTTTTTTTCTCGGAGTAGTCCCACAACGTTTTAGGGCGATATTCTACTCCATTAACAATTTTAAAAAAAATTACCATCAAATCGAGGCTTGTGTAAAATGCGGCTATTTTTGAAAGCATATGAACTAGAGCTGGAGGGTCTGTAAATTAAAAATGAGGTAATAACCCGTGTCCGTGGTCTAAAAAAAGGCAAGACCTCCGCCAGCTTATTCGATTTTCATAGTGTGAGTTATATATAAAGAAGTAGATCGCATTTTGTCTTCGAGCTGATAAGAAGTTTGAGTCCACGAAAAACTGACTTAACGTCCATATGATATATGCCCCAAGCATTTCGAGATACCTGAAGACCTTGTCTGGAACCAAAAAGTCACCTAAAGGGACGGTTCAGACCATTTTGTAACCCAAAATGAGAAACTCGTGGATACGTGAAGTTTGCTTAACAGGTATATGCACGGCACTTCAAATCAAAATATACTATTTTCTTTTACCACATGACTTTTCTATTCTTTGAGCAATTTATCCCCAAATTTTACATAGTTTTTACTTTAAGTTAAGGACTTTTTGTCGTCGCACTTCCTAATCACAATTTCTCTCCGATCAGTCGGTTGCAGATGCAGGGAAGTACTCCCTCTGGAAAGAAATAATAAAACAAGCTGGGAAGTTCGCTTCGCGGCTGCTGCTGCTACCTACACTGTAAATTAAAAATATCTGTTTCAGCCCCAAAGTGTCAATTCAGCCCTGCAGGCCAAAGTCTGGTTCAGCCCTTCCTTGAGCCATCTGAGCACAATTTAGGCCAAAAAAGCTCTATCAAAAGGCTATTCCATCCCACGGTAGGGCCCATTTCAGACCTGGAACCAAATCAGCCCTAGCTAATTGGACTGTATTGGCTCTGATTTAAGGGAGCCAAATTAGACCCAAAAATAGGACTGTATTTTACTCACCAAAACGGCCCTGTTTTTAGGGCTAAAACAGATCTTTCTGATTTAGAGTGTAACCTAAATTCCATTTTTCGTCAGGGAAAGAGTAAACCACACATCTCTGAATTCCCCGTTTAGTTAGTTTTTATTGTTTCTGCAATGTCATTCCACAAAATGCTCTACAGTTTCCTAACTACTACGATCTGACAAAGACCTCATTAAAGCAGTCCCTGGTTTGTACTCTAGACACCGGTGCAAATAATAGTGTCGATCTGTTTATCTACGCCGTGAAAAATAAACCCCGTCAACGTTTACTGAGGCTCTCGTTACGGTGACCTCGACTTATCAAGTTTCTATCTAGCGAACGAATATTTTCCAAAAATCACCAGGGGACACTCCAACATTAAAATCGTCGCATTCCCATCTGCCACCTGGTTCAAGATTCCAAAAATAATTCCCCACTCCTTGACGAGGGTAGTCCCATACAAAAGCAGTGTGGAAGGATAATCTATCCTGATCTCTTTCATGGCCCCATTTGCCAACTTTATAATAACCATTTTCCTTTCCCCAATGTTGGCAGAGTCTTGCTAACCGCGAGTTATCATTGCTCATAATCACAAACGAGCCACATGAAGCGGGTATCACATCTGTCTCACCACTAAGATATTTGACAACTGCTTCGCCTTTGCTATTAGCAGCCGTGGTGATGTGAAATGTGCGACCTCCTCTTTTCTTGCAGTGGAATCTCATCTGAGTATAATGCAAGTGCTTTCTCAGCTCCTTCATGGCGCTTTTTGTGAGTACCATCTCTTTGCTGCTTACTCCGCGGTACGATGCCTTAACTGGCAACTGAGTGGGAGATGAACCGTGCGAAACAACGTTGGATACAAGAAGCCATCCCCCTGAAATTCAATCAGTTTTCATCAGCCATGTGTTGACTCCCGCGAACTAAGATATCTGTGATTCGGTAAGCAGATGCTAACAGTCTTTCAAGTTGACCCCGAAACGAGGCCTGGCACAAACAATGCATATTTTGTGAACTTATTTTATAAAATAAGACCAGCATAAAAGAGGTGTCATCTTCAAGTCAAACCTTACCTCCGTCAGTTGTCATGTCACAATATGCCTTAAAAGGCCTTTTAGTCCTTCCAGGGTCAATCCAGTACTCCCCGTCGCCATTGGAGATACCTAAGTCCTTGATTTCTTTGCATGATTGAGCGGGATCGTAGGAAACCAGCCCGCGTGTCGCTACAACAAAATAGATATCAGCATCAGAGATCAACTTTGAAGAATTGTTGTTTGGAAAAAGTTTGCAAAGCTTCTATGGAGAAACGAGAATTTCACTTTAATCTTAAGGTGAAAATAAAAGAAGAAAACGTGCGTAAAATGAAACTAAAGAAAAAGTGAAGATAGTTTCACAAAGCTCAATTACTGAATTAATCAAGCTTGCAATCGTTTTCAAAGAGACTTATAATCTATGGTACTAATATACAGGTACATATGCCATCGGCTTCCCGGATCTTGCTTCATTCATTCAGAAGAGCAGTGATTGCTGTTGCTGGAGGTAACTTTGAGTTGAGGCTATTAGGGAGGAAAATCATTAAAGAATAATTGCATGTGGACAGATTCCCTGGCTTAAGCCCGTTGATGTAGGCTAGTTCAAGTTAATAGCTAAGAATCCATGACAAATGTGTTTAACTAACAAACGCATACAACGCGATAATTGCGTGTGCTATTGAGATATTTATACCTTTACACTTTTTCCCATCTCCCTTGTAACCAGGTTTACACGTGCAAGTGAAAGACCCTTCAGTGTTCTTACATAACGCATTTCTGTCACAGTTATGGATTTTGCTTGTACACTCGTCGGTTTCTGAAAAAACAAAGACAAACATAACTTGCATTTATTTTACGTTTACAAGGCAGGTATATATAACTTTAAAAATTCTTTCTTTACATTCTCCTCTTTTAACTATACGTTACAGATAAACCGGCGGCTTCTGCGGATATGGTGGGGTTAGCCCAGTTGTTCAAAAGCTGGATAAATAGCCATCCAGTAGATAACGCAATTAGTTTTCCTAAAACGTATCCACTGTGTAGTGATTTATCCGATGCAAAGCGCTATCCAACGTTTGAACAACCGGTGCCAGGGAGAATAAATACAAGCAATGGGATGAGCGAGTGTGCTGGATGTATAAACTATCTTTGGTTATTAAGAACTTAGGGTGGATTTCCACTGTCGCGTAATATTTACGCGAGTACGCTCGTAAAATGAACGCGCGTAAAGTTTAGCATGGGTCAACTTTTACCTTTACTCACGATCTTTCATACATAACCCTTATTTTACTTACGTACGTAAAACTAACGCGCTCACGCAGTCACGTAAAAATTACGCGATAGTGGAAACCAACCTTTAATAAAAGAGTGCTAGATAGTTACCTCTACACTTCTTTCCATCTCCCTTGTAACCGCGATTGCAGGTGCAAGTAAAGAACCCCTCAGTGTTCTTACATAACGCATTTCTGTCACAGTTATGGGTTTTGCTCTTACACTCGTCGATATCTATAAACAAAGACAAAATTATAAAACATTGATTTAATGCCCCGAAAACAACAAGGCAATACCTTCCTTGACATTTCCTTCCGAATTTCCTTTATTTAGACCCCTTGGGGCTTTTTATTGTCTTCAGTCTGAATTGGGGCGACCTTGAGGCCTGAAAGTGAAATTTTAATTTCATTTTCGTGTTTTTTTTTAATCATATCAAACTATAACGTTATAATTATTACCAATGAAATTCTTAAAGTCAAACCAAATATGTCCCCAAACGGAAGTACACTTACCAGTTTTCGTAATTGTTTTAATTGAAAGAATGAGAATTCATGTAAAACGTTGCTCCATACATTAGTACAAGTATTCTTATAATGCTCAAAATCCATCCACTAAAGGTTGGTGCCGCCTTAGACTGCAGGCTTATTAGAAAGTTTCGACTACTAAAGATAGAGAAAATAGTAACAGTACTGTACATACACAACAAAGCATATTTATCTAGTCTATAAATAAATTCAACACTCAGTTTGCGAAGCAAAAGGGCAGACTATATGTTTGCTCAAAATCCATTAAATACCCTCTAAAGGTTGGTGGCTTATTGTTGCCGCCTTAGACTGAGAGCTTATAAGAAATTTACGACTACAATAGATAAATGAAAAACTTAATTACAGCATTGTACATTTTTTTTTTTCAGTATGATGTCCTACTTTTTTTAAGAACAAACAACATCAGAAAAGAATGAAGTCAGTCAGTTTGCGAAGTATGAGGGCAAAATATGATGTCTAAAGAAAACTTCAGTACTTACCAACGCATTTACGGCCATTTCCAGAGTATCCAGCTTTGCAAGTACATTTGTATGAACCCACGGTATTCTGGCAAGCAGCATTCACATTACATCTGTGATAGTTAGTTGTGCATTCCTCAATTTCTGAAAGAAATCACGGCGCTTCATTAACTCATATCTGCCATGGTTGATGGCGACCTTGCTACGTGCCGCTTATTTTCTGAAATGATGTTCTCAACTTGAATTCATGAAAATCTCTTGAAAAGAAAAAGGAAATTACTGTGAATTGTACAAAACAATGGACACAATGCTTTCATCTCACGTTATGACACCCTTTAAAAACTGTCGAATAAGCTCGGCCGCGTGCCCAGTTCAGTTTCCTTGGTTTAAAACAAACTGAAACAAAGTGAAAAATACAAGGACACTCTTAGTCACAGCGTTGGCTCTTGCTTGCTTGGAGATAAATTTTATTGTCAGTTGGTGCTGTTATGCTACTTATTCGTTTGGAATACAAAACGAGTGTTATATGTCATAATGTAAATACTCAAACTTTAAAAATTGCAAGGGGAGACAAGTCGCACATCTTAACCAGTTTACACCGGTGTGAAGCCTTTGAAAACCTTTTGCATATTGATATTGCTCCAGTGAGGAGAACTCTTTAATTCAGAGATTTCAAAACTGATTGAACGATGATTTTTATCAGTATAAATATATATAGCTTCGATGTAGCGGACAAGACACGGCTCGGTACAGTTTTTGTTTAGCACAAGAAAAATGTGTAAGTTTAGCAGAACCTTACACAATAGATAGTCAATTCAGTTGGCGCGTATATGTTCCTGTTGAATTTGTTGTCCGTTTTATAACACATCAAAAGTGCGTGAAAGTAGTTACATTTTCCATGGCTGCTTAGTATCTGCTTTAAATATCTTCGTACAGTTGATGTTTACACGATCTCAGAGTACAGTGTTTAGAGCTTTACACAGCGTGCATTTTATCACAGTATCACTGAGATAAAGCGTTTCATTTTCGCGGGAAATTCATTATTTTTTCGTCAAAACAATCACTGACTCAGTCAGACTCGGAGTAGTTTACTTAAATTAAGTGCTCAGCACAGCGAGCGGGGTTATGTTTTGTGAAATGTATTTACAGTGTGCGGTCCACGTCACCACAACCCACGATTTATTTATTTATTTGTTTATTTATTTTATTTTCAAGTTTTTTTAACCGATCGTCGATCCCCGATCCCCGATTCTCGATCGGTCCGATCCTCCATCCTTGATCCTCGAATCTCGCTCCTGCTTTTCCAGTAAACCTCGAAGTTTTGCTCATTAAGATTGTTCTTTTTTTCGACCACTGAAGTAATCAGTTATTTTCTAAACTGCGTACCGAAAATAACTTATTTATGCTCTAAACTCGGTAATAATGAAACACACACAAGCAAATACAAAACTCAATAATGAATTTATTGTATAGGAGGAATAGGTCGGCAGTGCTATAATACGACCTCCTAACAAACACAACTTACATGATACAGAAGTATAAATGATAGGAAAAATACAAACTGAATCTAAACTCACTCGTACAAAAATTGAATAAATTAAATTCCAATGTGCAAAGGAACATAAAGACGCGAGTCGACTTTATCGCGGACGTAGCCGTCATTAGCTGAATCTGACTTCCACCTTCCGTGAACTTTAAAAAGCCGATCTGGAACATTCAGATTAGCAGCGGAAGTAGCTCCTCCGGACCTAAAGCTGTGATCACTAAACTTAGAAGGGTCTAATCCAATAGCTTTCAACTTCTCCTTAAGAATTTCTCCCGCCCTGCCAGCAGTGAGAGGCTTTGAAGAGAAGAAATTGCCCTTCAAATTCTTGTCGTACCGTAAGGATCTGAAAAATAATGAAATTCTGAGAAAAACAAGGAATCCTGGCAGCTTCTAAGTACTTAATAAGGTATGTATAAGGGCAAGTAAAATTGCCAGTCTTGGCAATATAAACCCAGGAACCCTCTCTGTACTTATCAGTCTTGCTAACTTCTATGAAAATCTTATGATAAAGACCTTCAGTTACAATATTAGATCTACTAATGCTTAAAAGCTCGGAAATGCGGAAAAAGCCAGCATATGCGAGTAAACACATACAGACAAACCTGATATCAAGTAAGTTACTACTTTCCCCATAATGCTGCAAAATTAAGCCAAGGATCTCTGGGGTAATGGGCTCCGCCTTCGTGACAGGTTTACGAGGAGCACGACTGGAAGCCTCAACAATAGACCTGACGAGAAAGTTGTCACACGGATTGGGATTCTCAAAAACTGATAACTTATGTACCCAGTTAATAGCGTAAAAAACGCCGCAAATGGTGGAACTACTTAACGAATTTTCTAATAAATGATGCAAATGCAAGGAAACTGTGAAAGAAGTAGCTGGGAGAAAAGAAACCTCCCCAGTGCTATGCAAGCACCACGCTTTAAACTTACAAAATGATTTACAATAATTAATAACTGTGTTATCAGCTCGAGAATTAAAGGCAGAGAGCCAAAACTTCTCACAAAGTAAAACACCAAACGTCCGACTGGCAGCTGCTTTAACATCTGAAGCAAAAAATTGAGAAAATAAAATGACAAAAATGACCAAAAAAAAAATATATCAGAAAAATACAACACGTAGTGAAACAAGGTAAGGTTCGGTCCAAGTGGTCCCAAGAAAAACACAGAAAAATATTACCACTGAGGGCCAAAGTGGCCCCTACGTAATAAAAAAGACCAAGTGGTCCACAAAACAAGGTTCCAAGTGCATCCCAAAATACTTGGATACCATGTGGTATGAGTGTAAGAACTCTATAAACTGCAGAGAAACCCCCTACAAATCTGAAAAAAAAAGGGGGAGGGGTTAACTAAGGCCTCTCTAGGAAAACCACAAGAACAAAAGACCTGAACGAAAATTAGGTGATCCAAAAAGGGAATTTTATAATTACCCAAAACGAAAACATCAGTACCTAAGGGGATCTCGAAAATATCAGAGAGACAAACCCTCGTTGGTAAAAATTAAAGGCCAAAATGGGGCGGAAGGCCAAGCAGGAACAACAAGTGTAGCGCGACCGCCAAGGGCAACCATGTGATTAAGGACCTTGGGGATGAGAAAAATAGGTGGAACGAGCCAATTATTCTCGCCCGCCCTAGAAACAGAAAAGACATCAACCGCCTCTGTACCAGGGCACCAAAACCTGCTATTAAAACGGGGCAACTGAGTATTCTCATGATTCGCAAACCGGTCCACAGAGTGAGGACCCCATTTCTCTTCGGCCAAAAGGAAATAGTCCCTGTTGACCCGCCAATCATCATAATCCACAATTCTGCTCAAAAAATCGGCTCTATCATTAGCCGATCTCGGAATCCATTCAACTTCCAATGTGATGCAACTGAGCAAGCACATACTGAAAATACGCAAAGCTAGGCATTGCAACTCTTCCTTCATGCTTCCTACTTCAACAAATCTAGCAACACTCTGATAATCAGTATACCACTTAATAGTGTGCCCTTTAAGTAAAGGCAAAAAAGATTCTAGACCCAGGGAAACAGCCTTAAGTTCCCCGTAAGAGGAGCTCTTCTGCGCCTCATCAACACCCCACAACTTGTGAGATATGGTGTTGTGAAGATCTAACATATAATTGGCACAGCCTGTAGAACTCGCATCGGAATAATACACACGGGAATAACGGAACTGTGTAGACAAGAGGCGCCTACTGTTTAGGAAAGGAATGTTCCCTTTCCAAAAACATAATTCATTCAGAGTTGAAACCGACAGGGAAATTTTTTCCCGTCCCATGTAGGGCTTCTAAAAATATCAAAATGAGAATACCTTGTCATAATACGAGTAATGTTACCAAAGACGAAACCCATTGAGATAATCTTACCGACAAACTGAGCCAATTTTCTGGCAGTACTAGAAGGATACAGAGAACGAATTGAATCAATAACCTGTACGACACTGAGAATCCTAACTGAAGGAATGAAAATAGTATGAACGGCTAACAACCCAAGAAAACCCTAAAAAAGTTGATGTTACTGCAAAATATCAATATGGTGGTAGCCAGATTGAGATCAAATTTACACATGAAATGATCAGAAGGAAGATAAACACAAGCGTTTCTAATATCCTCAAACTTAAACTTTTCTTTTCATATATGTTTATTGACATGCCTGAGGTCTAAAAACAACCTCTTCTTGCCGCAACTCTGTATGGAAACAGACAAGGGATTGACAACATGAGGAGGACTAGATACTTGAACAACTGAACCTGACAAAATAAGCTCTTGGATAGCCTTCAGAACAAAATCAGCGTGCATAAGTGCTGAATGGTTATTGTCAAAAAACGCATTCTGAGGAAATGTAATAAAGGGTATGGCATACCCCTTGTCAATAACCTGGAGAATGAAATCATTTGCACCTTACGCGTTCGCCCAAAAACTAAAATGAGCTTTAAGCCTACCCTTAACCGATAGAATACTATTGGGAGAATTCTCAAATTCAAAACACACCTCTAAAGCTGGACCTTCGTCAAAAATACCTTCAAGAGTTTCTTTTACTGCTTTACTATCAGCAATGGAACTACTGCTGCCCAGAAGAACCGCTGTCTTTACTTGACAAACTTTGGATCTGTTTGTAGGTTGATCCGGCAGTGAAGAATAAGTTGGGGCAACTTGCTCTCAAATGGCTGGTCTTGCCGAAGGCGAAGCAGATGTCAACGGCCTTTAACAAAGGCGCCCTTTGACATTTGAGGACGAAAATTAGTAAAATTTCTTGGAGTGATAGAGGAGACAGCCGATGAAAACCCCGAGGAAGTCTCTGGACGCTGAATGACCTATAAAGAAAAAAGGAAGAAAGAGGAAACTAAGTGACGGTCGATTATAGCCACTGAAATGACCTAAAGTGAGAGCACAACACGTGGTGAACCCATTTAAACACAACCCAACAATAAGCGTGATGAAGACGCCTGAATGCGGTACGCATTACGTAACCTCCATTCGCACGCATAATTCCCAACGCACCGAGCATAAATACATTTATTTTCTAAACTGCGTACCGAAAATAACTTATTTATGCTCTAAACTCGGTAATAATGAAACACACACAAGCAAATACAAAACACAATAATGAATTTATTGTATAGGAGGAATAGGTCGGCAGTGCTATAATACGACTTCCTAAACGCTAAAGAAAATAAAGAACGGGCAAAGGAAACGAATAAAAGTAACAGATAAAATACTCAGCTTCTGTCCCGACTTCGCACAGCGAGCGTTCTTCTTCTTTCGCAACGCTCTCTGCTCAGCAGCACGGATCTTCTTTCCGTCTTCAAAACCGGAAGCGACTTCGTCAGAAAGATACTCGTCAACTGCGGCCCAGCCAGCTTCCGTTTTATCCGCTATTCTGATGAGCTTGTTTCTTCGCTTTATGGCCTTTGAAGCAGCGTTGAGGGAATCGTCGAGTTTAAGAATCAGCGCTGAAACTTGATGATTCTCAGAGTTTTCAAGATCGACCAGAGATTTCAGCGAATCGACAAAAGAAAGACTATGAGTGACGTGTTCCAAAGTCTCAGTATTAATCGAACTGCTTCTTGTTGCCGATAAACTTGAAGCTTAAGCTCGTTTCGGTCTTAAGTTGCTTCACCAAGGATGAAGACGATTTGAGTTGATCATCAGAAAGCTCACGCTTTAAATGTAAAAATTTTTGATCAAAGTAAGACCTTAAGTCTTCAAAAGACCCAACAGGGATAACTTTGGGATCCTCCACGCCTTCCTTATCAGACATGATAAGCAAGCAAAAAATTAAGAGACGGTCGATTATAGGCGGTCGATTATAGCCACTGAAATGACCTAAAGTGAGAGCACAACACGTGGTGAACCTATTTAAACACAACCAAACAATAAGCGTGATGAACACGCCTGAATGCGGTACGCATTACGTAACCTCCATTCGCACGCATAATTCCCAACGCACCGAGCATAAATACATTTGTTCCATGGTAATCAACGCTTTCAAGCGATAGAATTCGCGGACCGACCCGTTCCGGAAAAGCTCGATATGGGATTTCTATTCTATGGACATAAAGTGCTGCAAGTAGAGTGCTTGATAGTCAAGTACAAAGCCACGCGTATAAATACATCCGTGATACATACGTGACGTCAGACGCGTAGTTGAAGTTGCTTCCAGTAGTACTCGAAGGTTAAATCATTGATATCTCAAGTATTATAGAGTGCAACGCGACTTCACATCTTAGCAACTGCGAAAATCTATCAGTTAAATACATACAACAAAGTGAATCTATTTAACCGTAAGGTTACAGTAATTGCGACAATATTCTGAGAAACGTAACGCGTCAATACACCACAATAATATTTTCTTATCCTACTCAGGGTATTTACTTTTTTAAAATACGCGCATACAGTAATTACACGAACATCAAGGGCCTCGATTTGGGGAAAATTACGTCATTGCCAAAAAGGGAAAACGTGTTCAACTTACATGCGTCATTTCAGTCATCGCCGAAAATAAACCGCATGCTCATCACAAGACTCATTTGCATACAATGAAAGTCATGACGATTCTTATCCACAGTTTCCACGGTGTCCGTTAGGAACGCCTGGGAGCATACCCCCTTTTTGCGACGGACCGACGAAAAAAAAAAGCGCTTGCATTTTTAGAGTCTTGCTCTGCTAAAGCAAGCTCGACTAAAAAGTGGAATGGCTATAAAGCCGTACAAGCGTCTTTATTATCCCGTTATGTTTTTTTGTTAGCTTTTTTTTTTTTTTTGGACTCAACCGACGATGTGAAACGTTCAATAGCATTCCTATCATTTTGATCCTTTTCACCAATCGTAGACGGTGTACAGACGCCCCCTCCCCTCAAAAAAAGGGGAGGGGGCGTCTGCTGTACACAGGCTATAAAAACGTCGCATTAATTTATTCATTCGCAATTTGTGAATGAATTTTTTGTTGTTTTGGTTACATTGCTAGCACAAAATATTGAAGTGAACCACAACCCTTTACAGAAGATTAGATTACCTCAAGTGCCAACTAACAGATCAGTTAATGTAAGTTGTAAAACGGACCTGATGACTGCTTTTACCTTGAACACAAGTATAGTTATAGCAGCTATCGCAGGACACATCGTTCCATGTGTAGCCATCATTGGCACCCAGAGTGTGAACACAGTCTTCGTTTTTCCAGTTGTTTGGTTGTTGCGGAGCCCAGAGCCGAAAACTGGTTATTTCCTTGTTTGTCCAGACAAATGATCCCTCAACGCTTCGGTCATTAAGGCCAATCCATGATCGCTCTCCATTATGACGGTGCTGAATGTAGACATTTTCTTCTTGGTTGTGCACTGTTACCAGATGTGAGTTCATAGTTGAACAGTTGGACTCAGCAGTCACCCAAAGTGCGCATACAGAGCTTGTTAAATAGCAGTGTCCATTGAAGTAATCCCATCCAGATGGACAGATGTCTGTGTGTATAAAAAGTAGGAATTAGTGAAGTGCAAAATGACATTGCTTAAAATGTATAGCTTTAGGTGCAATTATGCACTTCGAACATTTTTGTTATTTCCAGTTTTGTGATTAAAAAAGGAAATGGAAAAGCAGAAGCTTTTTGTTCAGGACAAAATAAAGGCAATACATTGGAGAAAGACAACTGCAAGTATTATAAAGCACTCTATTATACACATTAATATGTATTTGGAAAAGGGGATGAACGTTGTTTTTTATCATCACCCGAATGCATTTTTTTTTATTTCTTCCAGTTTTTGTGCATTCCTTTTGTGTATTGCTTGTATTGCTTTTTCGTTATTCACAGAGTTGGTAAGTACTGAAGTTTATGATTAGTTTTGTAGCAGTAGTACCTGACAAAACTGTGTACGTTACTGACAATGGGTCATATTTTGCTTCATATAATTCTTTGACACAAGCACGAAAGCCTGTCTTGTTGATGTACTGCAAGAAAGGGATGTTTATCAGCTCATTAAGTAGTTTACACAGACGGCGGACGGCGTATTTTCTCCCTTGCTAGTAGAAAAAAAAACTATAGGACAGTTCAGGTAGGTCTTGACCAGAAGACTTTCCATATTTCTCAGTTTGACGCATATTAAGAAGTGATCAACCCTGTTCAACAAGTTTGCATGATAGGGCTTCAATTGGAAGAGGAAAGAGGACAATTGAGTGCGCGTTATTACATGTCAACAACTTAAACCTCTCATGCGATAATTGCTATAACTGCTGTCAAACTTCAAATGTTTGGAGGCGGAATATGTCGCGTTCACGGGAAAGTAGACCGCGCGGGTCACGGAAACAGCAGATAAAAATAACCTTCATCGCATGCGTGCGAACTTTCAATAGATTTCAATAATCATCATGGGGCACAGGAATTCGCTTTCTTAGCTCATTCTCTCTTGCTTAACATCAGTTTTAGTTTTCTCATTGCTTTTTTTTTTTTGACAACATTTGCTTACCTTCTGCTATACAGCTACACAGCTTTTTTTTAAACACAGTTTTAACGACTTTCCATAATTCATGGCCATTTTACTAGCCAAGGGTTATGCCTGATCGTTACTTAAACGGATAAAATTTAACTTTTGTGCTGTTTTTCGCACGATCTGTATTTTATAAGCTGTTATTCTCAATAGAACGCATTCTGTATTGTAAAATAGAGAGTGTTAGTTACAGTCATTCGTATTTTGAAATTCATAAGGTTTTTAAACATGCACACAATACATGTAAGTGTGGTTGCAAGTGGTATGTTACACAAATTCATAAAATAAATGAAAAAGTAGATCAATCAATAAATAAAAACATACCTCTACCCACTCAGCTATGCTGTTATGAATTGGACTTAGACTTCCATTTTTGGTGGAATGATTGGCAGAAACAAACACATGTGGAGTTGAGTTATAAACTTTAGTAAAAGTAGCGTCCTGTCAAAAGAAATTACATAATTGTAACAATTCAGTCTCTGACATTTATATAAAGGTAAAGATTTTTTCCGCATTAGGGCATTTATAATCTATATTTCATTTTCATTTTAAATATTCAATGAAATATGACAGGCAGCCTGCTAAACTGACTAAATGCAACTACCATCACTAGAGACATGATAGGGCAACCGTTTTCTTTTGCTCTCTGATAGTAAATTTATTACGCGGGATGACGTAGTCAGCCAGCGTTAAAAATTCGGTAGCGCATTCCTTTCGTCGTCTTGGGAGTAAAAAATTGCCTTGTTTTTTTAACTTTCCCGTATCCCGAGCCCGTCCCGAAAAAAATTGTGTGATTTTTATTGGCTGCAACTTCGAATCACGTGCAAGTCAGGTTGGATTGCACAAGCAGAAAAAAGATACTGCGTCAGCAAAGAAGGGAAAAGTAAGATTACAGCTTAGCTCTAAGAGGACGACGAGTAAAGGCTGGGCACTAGATCTAATTAACGGCGCAAGACTTGGCCTCGGGCGACTGAAAATATTGTCTAGGTGGCCCAGCCTGGCGACTTGCTGGTGTTGGTTTCTTGTTTCTACAGTCAAACAGCTAAAATTTCTAGAATTTATTACTTGCGAAATCGTAGCTCGTTCGGTGGCTTCACGGCTTAAAAAGAACGCTCCGCTCGCTACGAAACTCTTGAGGTCGACTTGTAAGTAGCAATAAGTAGCATGTCTATCAAAAAGCTTTAAGAAAATGTTGTTAAATCGGGCACGCGTTGTATTGATGTTCAAAGGTCATTTCACGTGAATTCACATGTAACATAATCCTTGACCATGAACGTGACAAGCTGCACAGTTTTCGATAGTAACAGCTTTTCATAAAAACAATGAAATTTTTCCTTCAAATTAGGATGGTTCATTAATTAGTCTTTCTAAAAAAATTGTTACTTTTGCTCTGACAGGCGTAAAGTACGGTCGGCGACGCAAAACAATAGTTTTGTATTTTGAAAAATCGCTGAATAAACACGAGAGTCGGTCTTTTCTGTTAGTTAAATATTTTTACCTTTTTTTACTGCTGTGTCTGCGAAGCTAAAACATAACTAAGATTGTTATTCCAGTAAAATACGATGTATAAAAAAGAAAAGAGACGACTATTATTGTGATTGTTCTAGAATCGGGTATAAAGGGGGTATAAATCTATAAAATCCCGCACTGTCTTTCGTATCGTGACAAGGCATTACGTATCACATACTAAAAATAAATTCGCAAAAGCTAACCGAATCCACATTTGTCCTGAACATTTCACCGATAATATAGAAAGAAAATACATCCGTTTATGCGCTTAAACGAAGACTTTACAACAAGATGATCTACTCAAAAGAGATAACAGTTTTGGAGCGGCCCGGGGGAGGCACTTCCTTATAAGAGGCTAATGGGAAGATATGCCGCTGGATGGGGTCGCATCTTCACGACTGGATTGACTATAATGGGGTTGCATTTTCAAAAGAGTTACTAGAATTGGGCCGCACATTGTCGGATTTTTTGGATAAGAGAGTTGTTCATATTTACGGTTAGCAAACGTACCAGGATATTTGTACTGTAGGTGAAAAGTAAAGTGTTCTTCATTCAATTTATTAAAAAATGGGTCAATTCATTTTTTGATGACCTATTTAAAGGATTGATAAGGTATTTAAATAAATACAAAGTGACTAAGTTGGGATCGCAAAAATTACATATTTGCCCAAGAGTGACTAATATGCGGTTTTGGGGCTCTGAGAGGCCAGCGGCACATACCCAGCGAAAATTACCCACGTAACCCCCCAGGGGGGGGCACCGCGGTTTCGTTGAAATCATAACAGATTTCCTGGAAAGCTCCACGGGATCAAATTTTCTTTTCAACCTAAATCAAAATGATTAGTAAAAAGAATAGTGCCCTTATTTTTGACCCCAATTTTCTTTTTTATAAAAAATGCATAAACAGACCAGAATATTACTTTTCCGTTTAAAAAACATGAAATATTCGGCGGTGTTGCCCATGTTTCTCATGGCACGAAAACTTACTTTCATATGGTCAAAGGGATGTGATTTTTCATGAAAAAAATATTCACAAAATTCTGTTGACTTGTTAAGAAAATAATTTGTTTCATTTTTAATAATTAACTAACAGCTCATTGATTTATGAATTTGGGCGACCAACTTGGAGGCCCGGGCACCCAAGCTAAAAATGCTTGGGGATCCCAAAGGGCTCTCTGAAATCTTCCCTAGAGCACAGCCTTGCAGCCCTGTAGTTATTGGAAGTATGATACATTACATGTTATTGTTGAATGTGGAAGTGCATTTTTTGAGGACATTAGTAAAGGAATGCAAATTTTAGTGAACTATCCCATACTCCTTACATATATGGTAGCAAAGGAACCCTTGTGTGTAACTTATCTTCTAGTGTATTAGTCCTTAACAGAACATCTCCGTCTCTCCTGCACACATTTGTTGCATACACTACTCAACTTTCGATTGCCATTCAACATAACAGTAATTCTTTCTTACACCAACACATCCCGCGTAAACGCCTTCGGGCGTCTTCTTGTTCAATAAAATTAAGTGCACTGTGACGGGAATTGAAACCCATAAGACTAATCAAAAGGACTGGAATACTGACCTTGCAGAAGGCATTATAGTGACTCTGTGCGGGAGGTTTATCATTCGAAAAGTAAATCGAATTGTGTTCTGAGAAGGGAGGCTCGTGAAGATTTGAAAACGCTAACCAATTCTGAAATAAAGTAAATAAATCAATAAATAAATAACAATAAAAATAAAGAATTCTCTTTCAGTCTCACGTCCTAACTACCAAAAAATTGTGTCAACGTCGAAAATAAGATGGTAATGTCTCAACTAGGTTTATATAAAACAGCCACCGACATCTTAGGTTACAAGAAAGCAATAACATGGTTGGGTTGACAAAGCCGGATGAAGAGGAAACAAATGGAGGGAAATATATTTTCAAGCAAAAAATCGTGCATCTCTGCTGGACCAACTGCTGGAAGCGTAAAAAAGCGAAAAGATAAGATGGAGAAAGATACCAGTCTGCTGCACTTAGTTTCCAACGAAAAACGTTGTTCGTTCGACTCCACGAGATTAGCGTTACTTACAACAACAAAGTCTTGGTGTGATCCAGCGTAGTTTTGCAATTCTCTCAAGCAAACTTTGCAGGATGATTGTGTGACATCTTCAATCCATAGGCTTGCTGCGTCACGTTTTAATCCTGGATTGTAATGTTTGGCAGTCACAAATACCGACGGTATCGCAGAGAATTTTCCCTGAAAAATAAATCCGAATCAGGCAACTCTTAACTCTTAGAAAGCCACGAACAGGAATCAATTTCGTATTTATTGCAAAAAGGAACCCAAGAGATTTGTGATATGCTGGAAATTGGTAAAAGAATAATTTGTACTACCATGACGTTGTGCGACTAATGGTCATAAGTGTACGGCTGCACCATTACGACAAATCACTGCTGATGCATATTAAAAACGATCTGTTATTAACTGAGTGACCTCAGTAGAAGTGAGGCGTTTCAAAAGATATGATCTTGAAAAGAATGGGAAGGACAAGAAAACCTAACAAAGGCCACTCACTGTAGGAAACATGACAGTCGCACAAGTCGTACCAGTCCACCACTGTGACATGCGCACTTCACCAGTCACGCCACCCACTGGAGCACCTTGGTACGCCATCCAATCAACTGTCACGTTAGCATACGACTTTCGTTCGTTATATCCTGCCGCCATCACACAAGCAGTGAATCCGTCGTTATCCACATTTTCAACCCACGATACTACCGCGTCATGGACATACGATTTGTCACTGGTATCCATATGATTGACAGTTATCCGCACTTGAATGGGTTTGGCAGGGTAAAAAACAAACGGTTTGAAATGAATGGCATGACAGTGAGAGTCGCCCAAGGATGAAATATGTGGCATGTGGCGACGACCACGCTGAAAAGGAAATCCTAGAAAACACATTTCAAGATGAACTATAGATTATTATGACAAGCATGCGGAGCAAAGGGCATTTAACGAGAACTTAAAAATGTTGACAAAGCAGCAAATGAGTGGTTGTTATAAAGAGGGTTGTTACTCTCTACCATAGAAGTCCTGGGAAAAGTTCACAGCAGACAATGTGTCGCTTGTCACTGCATTAGGTCAATAGCATGGCAAGCAGTTATGGAGATTAGAACTTACACTTGAGCAGTGCTACACGGTGGCAACTGGTCAAGCCTTTTAGCGCTAAAGGAGAGGAAAGTGAGCATCCACTGTAGCTACTACTTCTCGCAGAGAAAAGGTTCAGTTCCAGTTATGCTTAAAAAAATATAACTCTAGGAAAGGACGTTATCCAGATATGTTAGGCAGAGCTACGTCCGGGTACGAAATACAAACGACTACTACTACTACTACTATACTACTAATCTCAGAGAAAAGAATCAGTTTTAAATTTGCTTCAGTGATACATATATAAAAAAAACAAATATTTTCGTTGAGGATTGACTGAAAATGCTTAAAACATAAGTGTATCAGCCACTTTTTCTGACCAGTATTCTTATTAGCATTGCCCCTGTCACGCATCTATCGCCGTTTTCTCTCCAGATTACAAGGGTAAGTAAATAGCTCATTCAAAAAATTCGCTAAGATACTGAAATCTAATAAAAACAAATATCACTTTTTAACAGATTCAAAAACAACTGTCCTAACCTTCACAGCTGCCAGGATGTTGCAAGGTAAAGTTTAGTCGATGTAGACAAACTTCTCTTTCAAACAAACATCTGTTGTCGTATGTTGTGCCATTTGATGAGCAAACGGGTTCTTTGTAAGATGGGCAGCTATCCACACATACACAGCGTGCATCATGGGGTCCAAACGCCTTACAGAAGCTGTGATAATAACACGTAACGTCTATGCAGGGATCCAGGTCTGAAGATAATTAAGCAAATAACAACAGATTAGATTTAAAGTGCCCATACCTTAATATTTTTTTTTTTAGAATTGAAAATGCACATTCCTATGAGAAAGTGCGCGAAAAAAAAATTGCTCTGAACACAATGTTATTAAAGAGAATTTTTTGACACGTTCAAATTTACCGCCATTTTGGCACACCATTTGTGCAAGTCTTCACTCGGATCCCTTTCAGAAAAAAAGGGGCTCTGACGTAGATTAAGGGACACGTGACTTTAGATGCAAGAAAACAAGTATAGACTCCACAAAAATTTCGTTTAATTACAAACTGAAACTGCTTTAAGATGCCAATAAGGTGCATTGCAGTTATATGCAACAACACTGGCGACTCTAAGAAAAGGATAAGAATGCATATGATCCCGTTTTTCAGTTCCTGAATTTTTGTCTTATGACATCACATATGAGCCTATTAATTTCGTGATCAGGAGCACCAGTGTGCCAAAGAAATTTAGTCTTTAAAGTTTTCAAAAAAAGATCTCATTTTCTTGAATACACAAATTTATTGCGACGAAATTATAGTAGTAACATGTTCTTTCACTCAACCAAATCTACAATTCCCCAAAATAGAGACAAGAAAAAATAGCATCAAGTAGAGAGAAAGAACTCTCCATGAAACAACTTCAAAACATTCATGTCATAAAATGTACTTGATACACTGCAGCATACAGCCTTCACCAAGGTTTTGATATATTGTTTACGTACCTCCAATCACCAGGTAATCCAGTTGTACGATGTCCTTATAATTGGCGTTATTGCTGTATCTTCTCATACACACCTCGGTTTCGTTTGTAAAGGTATGCTAGACACAATCATAAGAAGTACCAGATTATCAATCATTAAGCATCATCAGGTATTTTCTTACCATAATTACTATGTCACTAGGTACACCAAGGTCGTTTAGAAAGCGAAACCGTGACGTGCACAGGTTAGTTGGAAAAATTGGGAAAAAACAAAACAAAAAAAACTTTTTTGGACTCCTTAAACGACATGAAAAATTGAAACACAGACAATTCTAAAAGTAAGTTAGAAGGGAAAAGATAAGAAGGCAGCCTAAGGACGCAACGACTAAGAAAAATGGCTCCAAGTTTCATATTTGTTACCTGAATCCACGCAGTAACTGCGTTACAAGTTGCGGAAGTCCAGAAACGAGAGTTTTTGTTATGGTAACTGAGTCTTGGTGAAACCATTACTACCGGAGGAGCATAGAAAGCATCATTGAACTTTATTATCTAAAAAAACAAGAAAAGAATCAGCGCTCTGAAGTTTTTCTACACATATGCGGTATATGATATATCTTGTTTAAATAGTTAACGATAACAACATCAGAGCTCCATGAACTTATGAAAGACTTTCTATTTATGAATATAAGTGACTGAGAAACCAAATCAGTATATATAGTTCATTAGTTACTTTACCTGACAGACAGCGTTGTTTTGTTGCTTGTTTAGTGGTGAGTTATTCTTTGTTGTTACAAGGCCATGGATCAAGGTAAAATTCAGCGTCATCAGCTTAACAAATGCTATCCAGTCCTGAAGGACAAGTGAAAAAGTATTAACAATGTTATCAATATATTCTTTCTCAAGTCAAGGTTGTTCATAAGAGAAGTTAGCCCATTGCTCTGAACCTGTGTAAATCACAGGGTACCCAACATAGGATCTCTATGAAAAAAGCTACGATTTCCTAGTAGGCAAAGAGCAAAGGTAGAGCTTAGGGGCAACTGGGTTCTGCTAAAGCACAGCCCCTGTAAGTTGCAGCAGGGGAGGAACCGCTTGGTTGTCGTGTGAGTCTACTTTCAAACATGTAACAGGTAACAAAAGGAATTCACTTACCACCTTGATGTTTTTATGCAGACCATCAAAAATCTTAGTTTCCCTGAGGCAAACCTTAAAACTATCTCTGCGTACATCCTCTACCCACAAGGCCAAGGCGTCCTGAGGTCTCTTGAGAATTTGGTGACGAGCTGTTACGTAGATGCTCGGAGGAATTGAGAAACGCTGAAAAAGTAAAAGGGAAAAAAATTAATAATTAATTACATTTCTTTTTCAAACAAACAAGGGTATGATATAAAACGATGGAAGAGTGATAGGAAAAATCATTTTGAACTTGAAAGAAGCAAATTGGATGGAATTTCCTAGTGCAGATGAAAAACAACTAAGAAGAGTTTTACGAATTAAACACAGAATTTGAAAATCAGCAAATAAAACGATAGTCATGAACCTGGCAACGTAGATACAAAAGGAATCGAAATATAGACTTTCTCACTAAATTTTTTAGAGCAAAAATTAGCAAAAATATGAAGATTGTTAAAGCTTTTTAAAGATGTATTAATGTAAATAAAAAAATTGAAATGATCAAGAAAAGTGGAGGACAGATTGCAAGATAACTTTAATGGAAGAAAATAGAGGTAGGAATATATGTAAGATCTTGGTAAACGAATAAAGAATCGTATTTTATAATGCAACAATGTTATATCGCATGACTTAAAGATATAAGGAAGAAGTCAAATGGAAAGTCCGCAGCTCCTACGAGCTAAATAAAGAAAGAGGAAGTTAAAGCCACTCAGTCAAGCAAAGCTCAAAAAATAACGTAGTGAAATCTTGTGTCTAGGTTTGAGCAAACAGAAATACCTAAATCAGTAAGAACTATTAACTTAACGAAAACGCAAGGGGAAACAGCGGTAACCTTTTCAAAGGCGATCCTTTTACACTTTTCTCCAGTAGTCCAAGAATCCAACGAGACTGTGTCTAGTTGAGCGCCAACAGGAACAGATTGCAGCGCCATCCAGTTCACTTTCGTAGTCCCACTAGAACCATCTCCGTACTCTAAAACACAAACTGTAAATTCTTTATTATCCACAGATTCCACCCAAATAGCCGCGCCATCTCCACCACTAGAACTGTTTGTTGCGTGGCTTTTGGAAACGAAAACTTTCACATCCTGCCCGCCATTGAAAGGCTTCTCAAAGGAAACCTTTTCACACGCAAACAGACCAGGAGTAGTAATGGGGAAATTGCATATTCCAGTTTTGATACTTAGCGCTGGGAAATACAAAAAAGTAAAAATAATAAAAATAAGTTGCAAAACCGAAATACAGAGATGAATGATCTCTTTTATACCTTCAACGTCTTGGTTAGTAGGTAAACCTATGAAGAAGAAAGCCAACAACCACTGTACACGGACTTCTTGCACGGTAAACATCTTGCTTCAAATGGAGAAAAATCCGCTCGGTTGAACATTATACCTCTTAGCAATATGTGACAATGTGGTCCAACTTGTTTTTACGTGTTTAGTAGATGTCATTTGCTTTGTTTGTGGGGGTAGGGGGTAAAGATCTTTGAGATAGTTGATTGTAAGATTTATGCGGAAACTTAGAACTGAAACTTCTAATTACCGTCTCCAGCTTGCGACCATTAAAACTGACTGACATTTTTATCCTCTTGCACCCGAATTGTAAATGATCCAAATCATCATCCGTAGACTTGTATTTCTGTCGTGGAGTGAGGTAGAATACATTGTTTTCTAAAGTCTCCCACTAACTCTTCCAAATTCAACTCAGGGGAAAAAGGCTCCTGAGAGAAAGTATTTTGCGTTAGGAAAATTTCGTCGTCACTATCCATTGCCGCTCTCACAAGTGTACTGGTCCCCCCAAAAATACCAAGACAAAAATAAAAAAAAAAAAGGTTTGAAATTTGATTGTTGTCGGCTTAGCAAACAAACAATGCGCTATTGTTCTCCGTTTCTCACCTAAGTGAGAACAAGTGGTTTGATCAAAAATTATGACCCGTGAAACGCTCTTTCTCGATGCTGTGAGAAAACCTTTACAATACTTACAATGAAATACGTCATTGTCTGCGGTCGGATCAAAAAATGACAAACAAACAGATGTCAAAAACAAGTGGCCAATTATTGCCCTGTGAAAGACGACCTTTATGTAACCTATACCTCATGAATAATATCATGAAATAAGTTAGATAAACCCCTCGAACGTCGGTATTAATCCATATACATACCGAGGGCCGTAGGCCCGAGGGATGTATATGGCTTAATACCTCTGTTCTCGGGCTTTATCTCTTACATAAAGGCAAACAACACAACAACCCACTGAGGAATGCTGGAATTTGTGTGAAACTAGAGCACTTATAATCTTGAATAAGAAATAAACCAAACGAAAATTATATTATTTGTTTTATGTGGCCCAAAATTTTGACAGACAGTTGTCAGGTTAGGTCTCCGCCACGAAATTGATAGCCGACTTCATCTTGTCCATGATCCAAGCTTTACTGAATTATTTTGAACCTGATTCTTAAATTATTTTATTCACCAACGCCACAACAAATGTTAATATTTTGATTTAAAGATAATCTAGGGTGAATTTCGACCACAGAAAACTTTCCTGTTCTATGTTATACTTAGATAATTAAGTCAGTCTTACGAACACGAAAATTCCATCGAAACAAGCGGGAGGGAAGGTTCCATCTTGCCTCACTGAGGTGTAACTTGTTACATATTATATAGCGAAGGATTTACGTCACCCCGTTCAGTTTACAGAGCAAGCAATGAATCAAGAGATATTTATTAACAAACATTTGCGATTTAGTTATGTGGCATTAACAAGTTGTTAAGATTTACATTTCAATTTTCAGTTTATCGAGTCTGCACACTTTTTTATTTTCTTGCATGTACATTTAGGTTGCTTATAATTTCTGAATATTTGCCTAAAATTAAAATTTCCATGGCTTTTATTAGAAGCAACGCTTTCGTCAAGAAATTAACCAAAGTATTAAAAGACAAACACTTTCCTCTTACTTTTGAATGCTTGATATTGATAAGCTGAATTTCATTTACCCATCACAGACCGAGACATTTATACTGAGATCCGAAAATTGTAATCAGGATACTTGATTAAAATTTAGTTCGCATAAGACCACGCAACGATCTTTAGAATTCTGCTAAGCCAGCGTGTTATACTCCTCAACGCCGAAAAAAAGAAAGAAATTTCAAGGACTCGGTACGGTATGGCCTCTAGTCGCATTTGAACCTTGCGGGTAAAACCCTTTATTGTTTAGACTCAGAGTGGTCCTCTAAATTGTCCAACCTCGACTGAATTTAATGTTTCGCTATAAAGTTTGCGATTCAAGGGAATTATCCTCTTTCGCCGTATTTCTCCTTCATAGCGACCTCAACATAGGTTTGTTACCCCATGTTATCTGAAGATGAACGACTTCCGCGAGACAAAGGTAAATAACTATTCTCCTTCCAACGCGTTGTCTATCTCAGAAACCATGAAGAGGTCCAATGATTTGTTATTTTCGTTCTTTTTTTCAGAAGGGGCAAATATTGATACAGATAAGCATAGGTTACAAAAGGTACGTTCAAAATCTTAGAGTTATTCTTTTCAGTGGTAAATCCAAGATATGCCGGAGTTAATTTTCCCCTTGGTACAGATGTTTAATTTGCATAATGACAACATGGCAAATTATGTAAGAATCGCTGCCTATAAACATTTGTTAAATTTCTGTTAAAAGACAATGTGTAATCTAATTTCCGTTTCTTTTTTCTATTGCAATATTATTATGACTTTAACTTCCACTTTTTTTAGGCTAAAAAAAATAGATTATTGCAGTTTAGTGATAATTACCCGATCTATTTATATATTTGCGTGACATACGGGACATTTGGCTAGACCGTGGATATATACTACTGGTATGAAAAGTGAAAATATGGGAAAACCGCCG